AGGAAGGAAGGAAGGAAGCAAGAAGGAAAGAAGGAAGGAAGGAAGGAAGGAAGGAAGGAAGGAAGGAAGGAAGGAAGGAAGGAAGGAAGGAAGGAAGGAAGGAAGGAAGGAAGGAAGGAAGGAAGGAATAAATGAAAGTTTATGTGTGTTTGCAGCCAGTTGTATTTCCGGTACATGAGAGACAACAGAGAGCCCCGCCCTTCAGACAATCACCAGCTTCTGCACTACACGTACAAGAAAAGCGCCACCTACCGGGACAAGCAGGAAGTCATGAAGAGTGCCAGAACTAAGTAAGACCGTGCAACAAGAATCTATTAGTAAAATGGCATGACAATACTAAACGGAAAATCACTTCATTAACTTTCAATTTCTAGCATAGTGTTTCTTCTTCTTCTGCAACAAATAAGGTCAATGACCAAGACCGGAAAGCTATCAGCATTGAAACTGGTGCCGTATTAGACGCCCTGCGGTGTTGGGTTACATCATGTAGCAAGTGGCAGGGCAGAGTTGGAGGGGCTGGTCACCATATACATGTATATGAATGTTTTTGACTAAGAAACAGAGCTGCAGATTGTTTGCCTAGATCGTCCCTATGTGAAACTTATACATTTGCTTTGCAAATATTACCTTTCTAGTTTATCTTTAGACTCTATTGGAACAGCAGTATAACTACTGTATTTAGCCCATGCATATGTGGACAAGAACATGCAATGAAGATCACCCATCCATTCTAGTCTCCACCAGACTCCTTTTGCAGGTTGAATGAATAGGAGTCTGAATCGCCCTAAATGAGAATTTCATTGGATAGAGAAGCTCCATTTTGCCTCCGTGCAGGCAAAATATCTAATGGATCTTCTCTGTGCGAACCTCTCTGGCCAAAGAAATTCCCATTTAGGCCGATTCAGACTACTATTTATTCAGCCTGCAAAAGGAGTCTGGTGGAGACTACATCCATTTATTGTATTTGTAAACGAGAGATTCTATTTGCTGGTGCAGGTGTTGGAGTAAGCGGAGTCAGTACGGTCTGCTGTCCAGCTACCAGGGCGGAGTGTTCCAACTCCGGGCGGGGGACAGACTCTTCGTACAAGTCAGTAACGTGGCCATGGTCAGCTTCGAGGAGGCGGCAAGCTACTTCGGCGCCTTCATGATATAGTGTAGGAGCTTCTGTCGCATTTCCAAGTCGTGGGGTCGTGTGGCGTAGCGGCAGAGTGTGCGACTCGGAACCTAGAGGTCCCGGGTTCGAGTCCTGACATGCCACCGATCTTTTGCCCTTGGGAAAGGCACTTTACACGACTTTCCTCACTTCGCTCAGGTGAAAATGAGTATTGTCCTGTCATGTATTTTTCCCCTGTGTTGGTGGCAGCTTATAAGTTGATAAAACTTGAGTGTGACGTCACCACGTCTGGTGATTACATGTTAGAATAAAAAAAATTCCAAGTTCCCAGTTCACCTCTAAGCAAATGTTTTGTAGTGGCAGCAAAACAGAATCATATTGGCAGCACAGTATCTTTATGCTAGAACGGTATCATATTGGCATATCATGATACAGAACGTCTGCCGCCTTGTTGGTGTCCCTAATTTGCATGTTAGTAACTCGTGCATTTTCTGGCACCACGCAGTAGCTACAACGCTGGTGCCCTGTTAATATTTATTTTTATCTTTGTATATACATTTTGTACGGTACCTCGTGTCTGTTTGCTTTCGTTTGAAGTTAAGGCGTAAAAATAAGTGCTTCAGCTTGAGTGCATCACTATTTTGTTGCTGTATCTTAATAAACAATAAACCAGATAAACAATTCAACTTGCTGTTTTGGATTGACTATACTTTTAGGTAGAAATAGATATGAATACGACATCGTCTAAAAGATACCTTGATCACACTTCAATGAAGAAGCCACGTGACAAGCCTCACTGGGTCAGTCTATACTTAAGAAGACCAGAGTAACTGGTCGAAAGCTCTGTGTTGGATCAAACGTTTTGTCTTTAAACTCTTTAGATCCTTTCATCGTAGGTAGGAAAGATGATGACCAGATCGCGAGCGGAGTCGGTGACGACGAGCCTGCCCCTGGGCCCCACCGCCACTATTTCCTAAGAGGGGTAAAAGAGGCTATTTGCATCATGGCCCCTCACCCTTCCCTCAACCGCGACGGGGGCAGACATCGTCTAACAGGTACATGGGAAAGATGACGACCAAATCGTGAGCGGAGTCGGTGACGACGAGTCGGCCGCCGGGCCCCACGGCCACCCCGTCGGGGGTGTTCACGCTCGCCGCGACGGTGCGCACGTGCTCGCCGGCGGTGGTGAATAGCTCCACCCGCCGGAGCGTCTGGCTCGCCACGATGAGGTGGCCGGGTCCTGCCGTGCAGATCCCGCTCGGGCGCGACAGCTGGCCCTTCTCGACTCCGCTGCTTCCGAACTTCTTCAGAAATTTGCCCAAGTTGTCGAAAACCAGAATGGAGTGTGCAGACACGTCGGAGACGTAACAGTGACCGGAAGCTTCGTCTATGGCGACTCCGTACGGCGCGAGCATGGCAGGATGGACCAGCGTGCGCACCCGCGTCCCGTCCGCGCGAGTCACCACCACGCGGCTCCGCTCCGCCGTCGTCGCCGCCTCCGTCACGTAGACATTCCCGCGCCGCGCGTCGAAGGCGATCCCGCGGTGCGATTCTGTCTGGTTCAGAGAGAACCCGCCCAAGACCTCCCCGGTCCTGCTGTACTTCACCACATGGTCCCCCCTCCAGCTTCGCCCTACGACCCACAGAAGGGCCTGTATGGGGTAGTAAATAATAAGAATTACGCAAAATTTTCAACGCCGATCACGAATTACGTTAAATTCTCAGAATTGACGTTAAATCATGGACAACTTTATGGATTACGTCTTACGTTACATAAAGGTAACTGCATGTATTGGCTTTACGTAGAATAGAAATGACCAATTACGCGTAACGGCTAATGTAATGATTACGAATTACGTTTCATTTGGGTACGTGACTGCCTACGTATCAAGAAGACCTTAAATGCCTAGGCCTGATTACGCCTTACGAAAAACGGCATGCAGGCCCTTAATATAATCTAGCAAATCCATTGTTATGTTAGCGATCCAGCAGGATATCTTTCAGTTTTGAAAACGACTCGGTCAGTAATATAAGACACGGGAACGAGACAACTGTGCACGTATCGTTGCCATGCCAACCTACCGGCGTCTCCATGGCAACGTCGTGTGGGTTCATCGTCCTGAACGTCAACCCTGGCAGGACTAGGGCGGGAAACAGGCGGAGGAAGGTACCGTCCGTAGCGTGGACCGAGACGCGGCGGTTGTGCTCGTCTGCTACAAAGATCTCTCCTCCGCTCGCCGAGCCGACGGCGACTCCGGTCGGGCCCTGGAACCGCCCCGGCTCCGTGCCCATCCCGCCAAACACGATCCCGTCGTCGTTAAGGCCTCCTGTTCCCATCCCTGCAGCTGCAAAGTAATAGAAATGTCATTGCCAAAGAAAACTTTAGCCTGGAAGGCAGGCTGTTTCCCAACTTTAGTCTGGAAGCCAGACTGTTTCCAGGGCCTACACAGACTTCCCCAGCTTTAGCCTAGAAGCTAGACTGTTTCCAGGGCTTACACAGACTCCTTCAACCTAAGCCTGGGAGCCAGACTGTTTCCGGGCCCTACACAGACTCCCTCAAGTTTAGTCTGGACGCCAGACTGTTTCCAGGGCCTACACAGACTCCCTTAACTTTAGTCTGGACGCCAGACTGTTTCCATGGCTTATAAAGGTCTGTAAGCTCCAAAGGTCAACACAAGTCTCCAACATGAAATTTGTCTAAGACGAAAAATGCAATGCACGCAAGACACTCCCTCTCTAAAGAAGCAATGGCATTTTCTTCTCGTTGCTAAGGCAACCGTATAAGTCGTGTTAAAAATAGCGTCGGTGAGTTATAGTTTTCTTGTGTCCCATGAGAAGTTTTAGCCTGATTAAATCGCTTTTGCCGGCTGCCCAACATCTGACTGAACAAGACTATTGCTTGAGAGGGGTGAAGGAAGCCATATACATCAGGGCCCATTACCCTACATTGAACCGCGACGGGGACCGACATTGTCTACCAGATACCTTTGACCCAGTGTTGACGTCACACTTCAAAGAAGCCACGTGACAAGATTCACTGGGTCAATCTACTGAGAAAGACAAGAGTGACTGGTTGAAAGCTCTAGGTGAGAGAATTCTTTTTTGTGTTGGAACAAAAGTTTCAACTTTAAACAGATACAGGAGTTGTCTTTTACACATCTCCTGTATCTGTAAGAGAAGCAGAACTCCAATCAGAAGCTCTGATGAGGAAGGTGTCTGGTAGACACCGAAACATCAGCACTTCGATGAGAAATTTTGGCTGTGTAAAAGAAAACTCCTGTATCGTTTAGTGGTTTATCTTACCGGTTTTGTCCTCGTTATTTGTGGAGGATGGGTTAGCCTTCATTCCTCCAGACGTCCCGAATTCAAATCCTTGGGTCGGCATGGGCTACAAGAGATCAAAATGATACAGAAATTAAAAAAGACGACATTTGCCATCAAATGTAGAAGCCCCCTCCCCTCCACACACACACATTCTCTGAAAGCGCTCCATCAAATTTTCAAGCAGATTCCTTCGGTGGTAGGGGGTGACCAAGTTGGCCTCCCGAATTACTAGTACCTCTCTACGAAGGCTGTCACCTGTCACCAAGTGTTGACGTCACACTTCAAAGAAGCCACGTGATAAGCCTCTCTGGGTCAGTCTACTGAGGAAGACCAGAGTGACTGGTCGAAAGCTCTAGGTGAGAGAACTTCTTTGTGTTGGATCAAAAGCTTTAATTCTAAACACGTCCTGATTACGTATATGTTACTGTAATTAGCATATGTTCACATTCTAGTTCGCCTGGTGGCTTCTGGGCTTAACCTTTCAACATGGCGGACAGCACGCAGTTACGTCATAGTCACGTGGGTGCAAATTAGTAATTTAACACCTACCAGGCCGTCTGGATTCCCGGAAATACTCCAGACAGAGTGGGCGGAGGCGTTGAACGGGACCGTTGTCGCTCCAGGCTGTAGAGCAACAAGTTATTGTGTACACAGACTTATTACTAAAATAGGCCGAATAGCGAGCAAAGCAATAGTATTACTATAGCGGTTACGAATTCTTTTACTTCAATTCTACCAGAAAACAAGGCTCCTAATAAGCGCCACTCACATGTTTTGCGTTACAACAACAATGGGGTCGTGTGGCGTAGCGTCAGAGTGTGCGACTCGGAACCCAGAGGTCCCGGGTTCGAGTCCT